CTGCTCAGCTCGGGCTGGCATCGAACCGCTGTTGCTCAGAGCTCAAACTCTTGAGCGAGCTCTTAACCAACTGAGCCACTCGGCCGGCCCCCTAAAAACATTCTTGTATATGGGCATTTATGCAAGTTTCTGTAGAGTATGTACATACCCCTAAAAAGAATGGATTGCGGAATACTAAATAATTCGAATTGTTCTCAAAAAGAAGCTATGCCAAATACATACCTGACATTACATGAGCATTAGTTTCCACACCTGGTGGTATCATCAGACTTTTAATAAAAATTGAGTGTCTTCTTTAGCAGTGTAAGACCCATTAACTCACTTGTGATCAGAAGCAAAAGTGCCAAAAAGTAGATCAGTGGAGGCTCTACCTTCAGGGGGACACTCAAATCCTTTTCTTTATGCTATTACTGTATTTGTTTTAGGGACAAGGACTTCTTTCTAGTCCTAATGGGGACTTAGTAATGGTAATAGTTTTAGAAATATGTATTGAGCGCTATTATTTGTAGTTTTTAAACACTCTCATTTGATCAAAAAGAAACTAACTTAGTATACTAGGCAAAGTAACATTTTGTTTCTAATTTAATAATTCAATGTTTAGAGCTAATATTATAAATGCACCAAAATCTACATTATTAGGCCATTTATATGACTAACCAATTAAGATGAATCCAAGTGCGATTAAGAATGTTAAGATGTAGCCACGAAGAGGTTCATTGTTTTTCCCATAACCTTTAGCAAACATCTGGAAAGCTGGGTAGATGTTGTCCTTACATAGAGCCTAATAAAGAAATGTAAACAATTAAATGAAACATATTGAAATTAAACATACAGATTTGCTTACAGTTACAACAGGTTAATTAGGAATGGAACCCACATTTCTAATTCTTTGTCCTCTTTCTTTTCCCTGTCTCACACTACTTCATCTACAAACTGGAAAGATGATTCAAACATTTCAAAAATCAGAAGAACAGTTGGCTTAGGATACCAGAAGTTTTTATCCACCTTACCCCATCCCCATGTTGAAATTGTTTTATGAAGGAATCAGAAAAGCAGGCATACAAATAGAAGAAACTTGGAAGTTTGAGAAGTATGACAGATATGTGACCTACTTTATACCAAGTCCAAATCCTAGACTTACAGCAGCTAAAACTCCTAATTATAGAACTTACTCATTTTTCTTAAAACATTTCTGAAAATTATTTTAAGAAATAAGTTCTACACCTTTACTGTACTAACTGGCTATAACTACAACATTAAGAACAAAGCTGCAGAATCAACATTTCATTTACTTGACTTAGTAATAAAAAATATTTCCAATTCAGTATCAGCCATTCATTTAATGCTCATTAAAGGGAGATCATGTCTAACTTACCATTATACTGTGAGTACCTAACACAATGTGTGGCACATATTAGGCACTCCTTATCTTTGGGAAGATAATTTATGCTAACAGAGTATGTCAAAAAAAGCAAAAATTTATCACGAGTTCCAGAAAGACTTATACTCTAACAGTATGTAAAAGTACAAATGTTTGTATGAATATATTCATGTTCATATGTATTCAATATTGATATATATGTGTGTGTATATTTTATATATATATATATATATATATATATGGTTGACAGAAGAAACAAATAATTTAAAAATATTAACAATCCCAAATTTAAATATATTACCTTAACTCCCCCTTTAATAAAGCTTATAATGTGAAAATACTTACCTGAAATATTTTCGGAGCACTCACAAGGGATGCTAACGCAGAAGAAAGAGTGGCTGAAAAGATACCTGCAGAAATCAATGGTGCAAATCCTGACACCATGCTCATTACCTTAAAAAAAGTGATAAAAATGGAAAAATAAAGTCTTACAAACAAGTAAAAAAAGAACTCGATACTATACATCATTATCTAATGAAGGAGAATAATACTGGGGGAAATCTGATAAGAATAAACATTAATAATTGTTACGTGCATTACAAATTGCTGAAGATTTACCACTAGCTCTTAAATTTTTGAATCAGATTTACTATTAGCTCTTACCTTTAAAATATCTTTTTATTTTGTAAAATTTCAAAGACACACAATGGCAGAGGGAAGAGCAAATTGAAACACCAAGTATCCATCATTCAGTTTCAACAATGACCAACTCAGGGCCAATCTCTGCATCATTGTGAATCAAACCACAGATATCATCTCATGCATAAATGTTTCGGTATTTATCTCCAATGGGTAACAACTTTTAAAAATGAACTACAGAGCTACTGTCACAGCTGAAAAACTGAGTAATTCTTTAACTGCACCAAAGAGCCGATCAGCACTCAAATTTCCCAAACTCTACCACTTTTGTTGTTTTTTAAAAGTTTGTTCAAATCAGAATCCACAAAAGGATTATCCTTTATATTTCATTGATGCATCTCTTAAGTCTTTTTCAATGTACAGGTTCAACCTTTCCATTTTATTATTTTTATGTTATTTCTCCTATAAAAATCCCCTTCTGTATTTTACTGACTGCATCTCCACTGTGTTGATTAACCTGTTTCTCTCATCTCTGCCTTTCTTGTCAACTGATAGGTGGATCTGGACAGTAAATTGGACTAAAAAGTACAAGTTTTCTTTCAAGAATCTTTCAAGGGTCAGGAAGGTTGTTTCTATTTTGGATGTTAAGAGAGTAGATTGGTATTGTGGTTATCTTTTTTTTTTTTTTGTGGGGGAGAGGTTTTTTTTTAAGAGTACGTATTTTTTTTTTTTTTAGCTGAGCCATCCTGCCACCTGTTGGCAGCTCAGCGGCAGCTCAGCTCAGGCCAGACTCGAACCGCTGTTGCTCAGAGCTCACACTCTTGAGCGAGCTCTTAACCAACTGAGCCACTCGGCCAGCCCAAGAGTATGTACTTTTTAAGAGGTAAATGGGGAAATATTTCTAGCTGAAACAATCTAAGTCTAGGATTTGCTTTTAAATAATATGGGAAAGGAGGAGTTATAAATAAAACAAAATTAGTAATGCACTGACAACTAATGAAGCTGGAAAATGTGTACATTGGGTACCTTAGATTACTTTCCTTGTCTTTTCGCATATTCAAACATTTCCCTAGGATGAAGTTTTTTATAAAAATGGATCAATCACTTAGATAATGAGAAGATAATCAGATACAACAAAGCAGTACAATGCAAAATAACTTGCCTTAACTCTTCAAAATGTCAACATCCTGAAAGATTAAAATAGGCAGGGAACTCCTCTAGATTACAAGATTTTAGGGCCGGCCAAGTGGCGCGATGGTTAAGAACTGGCTTGGGATGTCAGAGGGCCCCGGTTCGGATCCCACATATGAGGGCCAGTGACACTGCCCTCTACAGCTAAGATGCTGAACGACAGCTCGACCTGGAGCTGGGCTGCCGTGAGTCGCTGGCGACGGCGTAGGCTGCAGCCCCTGTGGCAGTGGGTTGCCATGGGCTACCGTGTGTGGCCAGCAGCCAGCGTGAGTGGCCAGCAGCCGCAGTGAGCGGCCGTCTAGAAGCCGGCGACTGATCTGCGTCGTCCTGGAAGAGCACAATGATGGTGCCAACTTGGGCCAGTGAAGCAACGTCCTCCACAACTAGACTGAAGAACAAAAACGACAGCAACTTGTCTGTTCCCTTTCCCCGATTCCCCAGCACTGTTCCCATCCTCCCAATTCCCCAATAAAAATCTTTAAAAAAAAAGATTTTAAAATAATATGATAAGTAACTGCCATGTGTGATCCCAGATTGGATCCTGGATGTGGGAAAAATAGTATAAAAGATATTACTGGGACAAGGGAGGAAATATGAATATGGAATATGTATTCACATTAGATAACAGTATTTTATCAACATTAAAATTGTGTGAGTGGGATAATTGTACTGTGCTTGTACAGAATGTTTTAAATAATTCAAACTGACTGTCATGTTGTGATGTCTACAATTTACGAGGTGTGATCAAACAATATGGTGAATGTTTAAACTAAAATAAAATATATTAGAGTAAAAGACACATTGCCATTAATCCCCCTCAAAATATCACCCGCCTGGCTTGCTTTGAACACACTTATCCCATCATTCTTGCCACTTTCTGAAGCAGTTCTGGAAGTCCTCTTTAATGAGTCTTTAGTTGTGTTGTCGTGGCTGCCTCAATGTCCTGAATCATTTTGACTATGGGGAAGAGCCAGAAGTCATACGGTGCCAGATCCGGTTAATAAGTTCAATGAGGAAACACCATAATGTTTTCATTTGACAGAAAATGCTGTACCAGAAGCGATGTGTGACACGGAGCATTGTCATGATGGAGGATGATTTATAACACACTTTAAAACACACCTTCTGTCAACCTTAGCTCACACCTGACTGACTGCACTGAACAGGTTGAAACTTGTCACACACTGTTACTAAGGTTGGATGCACCGCTTCCCATATTGAAGATCCCTGCCTTTCCATTGGATGGCACTCGGCAGCAGCATTCACCGTATTTTGTGATCACAATGGAAAGGCTCCATGTCACATATCACTTCTGGTATACGGCAATTTATGTCAAATAAAAACATTATGGTGTGTCCTCATCCACCTTATTCGCCGCATCTGGCACCATGTGACTGCTGACTCTTTCCCAAAGTCAAAAGGACAATGATAGGAACACGTTTTGAATTGATTCAGGACATCAAGACAGCCACAACAGCATAACTGAAGATTCATGAAAGATGACTTCCAGAACTGACTCAGAAAGTGGCAAGAACGATGGGATAAATGCATTTGAAGCAAGGGCGAGTATTTTGAGGGGGATTAATGGCAATGTGTTTTTTACTGTAATAAATTTTTTTATTTAAACATTCACTGTATTTTTGACCACACCTTGTATTCTTATATGTTTGAGAAAAAGAATACACATATACAGCAAGATAAGCAAATGGGGCAAAATATAAACAGCTAGTCAATATAAGTGAATGGTAGGTACATACGTATTCACTGCACTGTCCTTTCTGCACTTTTAAAATATGTCAAAATACAAATTGTACAAAATACAAAATTTAGGCAGAAGCGTTGTTGATGGATTCAGGCACTGTCAGCTTGATCCAACCATTATAAATTTCACCAGTAGTGAATGATGATCATCATTACAGTCATTACTTCATTCATAGAGATTTACCTTTCATTTATATTGACAAAGAGCATGCCAATAGAGAGCAAGGAAATAAGGAAATCAGGCTTTGAGCTGTTTATGACTATTATACACTTTTTTACTATAATTTAAAAGTTTAAATCAAATGCAAAATTATCTGGCCATAATACATGAATCTGGTTTCATGTGTCCATAAACCACCATTTTTCACTTTAAGTGCCTCTCCCTGTATCTTTTAGAAGTCCTAGGGTTAAAAATGAAAGATACATTTAAGTGTTTTAAGAAACATTAGCATTGATTTCTCTGAGAATCTCGGGGAGAAAAAAAGATTCGAAAAGGTGATTTTTTATTCAGCTCTTTAATACCAATTTAGTTGTCACATATATGCCATTCATTTTTCATAATCACTATTTTTCAGTTATTAGTGCTAGATGGTCTACCACTGCCAGCCTTTAAGCTTAGGAAATGCGATTGTAAAGGACAGATAAGGTGGAGCAAGATGAAAATAAGCAGACTTCATTTCTGTTATGTATCTGTATCAATAATACAAAATTCCATGCCTACCTGTAATGACCTCAAAGTTAAGTAAGTACAAAGGCAGGAGATAAATGAAGAAAAAAGTGGAGAACAGAAAATAATATACACTGATGAATTAAGGCAAAATCGACACCATGAGCATTACATATAACCATAACCTTTCAAACCTTTTGTGCTTTGAAGGAAAAAATTACATTTTCTCTTCTTCCGTACCTTGAAATTGAGGTAAATAATGTTCCCTGTTTAGCATCTGGAAACAGTATTTGCCAAGTTTCCTGATTTCTAGGTAATATATTTGCCCAATAACCTCTGTATTTCCCACAATTTTATGGTAAAATATGGGTAGCAAGGATAATGATAATAACATAAATAATGGTAGTATCAGTGTTGTCCATAATATATAGTGGAAACAAAGAAGAAAAAGGTGGTTTTGTCTCTAAAAAAAGAAAAAAAGACCAAAGTCTCATAAAAGGTAAAAACGTGGCAAGTAAAATGAGTGGTGCAATTTTGTGTCGAGGGTGTGTGTGTTGATGATTTAGGATTTAGGAAAATCTTCAGGGCTCCCAGATTTGGCCACATCGAAAGAAAAGGGAGGCTCATTCCAAGCAGAGTGAAGCACCAAATAAAGGAACAAAGCGGAGGCAGTGTGTGTGGGTACACTAACACTAACACATCATGACTGGTGTCCAGTCCAAACAGAAGGCAGTGGGACGTAAGTTTGAGTATGAAAGGCTTTGACTGACAGAGAAAAGAAGCTCACACTTTCTTTATTAAGCAATGGTGAGTCAGGGGTTTCAAAGGACATTAAAATGCAGAACTAGAATAAGAATCATAAGACTACATACATATAAATTTAAAACTTTTAGGCAAATAAGGTAGACCAAATCACTTTTCCTCCTGAAGACAAAAAAGACAATTATATGCAAAACAGCACTATAAAGTGTGGCTTTGCATAGATTTCATGGGGACTCCAACTTATATGCTCCTCAGTTATGTCCTATCTTGCATTCTTCATTCTCCAAATGACAACCAATTTATATTTTCACAGGAATTCTCCCCTCCCCCATTTTCTATCACGTTAGAACGGATTTTTTAAAAATTTATGTATTTAAATTAGAAAAGCAGCTTTATATATACCAAACTTCTCTTTGCTTCAATGAGTCCATACTAGACTTGATAAAGACAGCACACTTTTCTATTTTAAGGCAACAAAACAGAAATCTGATTGGCATATTCGGTCATTGGGCAGAGACCAACATTTGTGCCTTTCATACACAATATCAATGTCAGAATTGGCCTGAATCATTAGTTGGATATGAATACTTTCTTTCATTCCTATGATTTTGCCTAGTCTTGTGACTAGAAAAAACAAACTTCTATTATATAATTGGGTTCAATATTTAGCACTGAAAGAGTACTCAAAATAAAAATAATGCCATTAAAAATTTAAGTTACAAAATTTTACTGTAAAATTTATGTATTCAACATAAAATTTAGTGTTTTGAATCTATCAAAGCCTCAACTATTCTGTTTATTGTGTTTACACATTAATGAGAAAAACTAGGAAGCAAAATTTTTATTTTTCACTTTGAATTAGTAGAACCGTCTATTCTATAAATTTACCACAGAATATTTTATCTCCTGAACCTATACCTTTGTGTTCTTTTCCTTCTAGCATCCTAGAACTTACCAAGCAATTTTCAAAATTATCCTCCAAATTTTAGTGATTCTTTCTCCCCTTATGTTTTCTGAGTTTCTAAAAACCCATAAATTTTATAAAAATTTCATTTCACTTTCAGTATCTTATAGAGATAATAACAAAAAGCAGAAGCACTGATATTCTCCAAATACTTGACATTACTAATCTTTACATAGTTCATATGTTTTAAAAGTTCACAAACTTTCAAGCATCCATAAAGAATTTAATTCTGTTGTTAAATGGTGGTTTAGCACAGCATGGCTATATGGGCCACATCTAATTAAATAACACTATTGATACTGATCAGTAGTTTTTAAAAAAGTGTATTTATATATAAAGCAATTAGGTAGATACCTCTACTTAGAAAACTGAACTTATTTCAATTAGTGTGGATTTAAATTGTTCAAAATAAAAATTAAATACTTAGGTATGAATCTAACAAAATATGTAGAGAACTTGTATTCTGAAAACTATACAATGCTGATGAAAGAAATCAAAGATCCAAAAAAAATGGACAAACATACTGTGTTTATGGATTGAAACAATCAACACAGTAAACATGTCAATTCTCCCCAAATTGACATACAAGTTCAATGCAGTTCCTATCAAAATCCCAGCAAGACTTTATGTAGATAAACGTAAGATTATTCTAAAATTCATATGGAAAAACTAAAACTGCTAAAACAATTTTGAAAAAGGATAAAATGGGAAAAATCAATCCGCCTGACTTCAAGACGTATATAACTACATCAATGTATGGTATTGGTGGAAGGATAGACACAAAGATCAATGGAACCGAGAACCCAGAAATACACCCTACAAATATAACCATGTGTGAGATGGTTCGGATGCTTCCTAGGTTTCTGAAAGAGTCTACTAAATATATTATACTCTATTATACAAGTGTTACCCTTGGGGGCCCTTTTGCTCTTGAATGGCTTCAGACTTTACCGTTTCATATTTTTGTTTGCGCGATTAGTTATCTATAGTCTTTTAAAAAGATCTAAGTATAAGGTAACAACAGTCCTCCTTTCTAAGTTACTGCTATACTCTGAATGGTCAGATTTGATAGCAGTCTGACCTCTAGATAAAGATAGAATATCTGTATAATATAAATTTGATGCTCACCTGGAAGTTGTTCATTAGGCCATAGGAACAAGTACTGCTTTCACAAGAAGAAAAGTCAAAGTTTAATTTACAGGCTGCAGAAGTACAGTTTGTTAGCTCTGTTACAATAGTGTCATTAATGTTCCCGGTGGCATCCCGAACAACACAGGAACCTGAAGCACAAATGACAATGAGAACAAGTAATATAGCTAATGTTAATATTCATTTCAAAATCACATATACCCATAACAACATTATGGTACTGACTGTATATGTACTTGCTTTTAATAGCATACACTGCATTTACAGTTAAGACAGCTTTACATGGAACAGGCTTTGGAAAGCATCATGGTTCCCAATATTTAAGGAATGAAATGGAACCTTATAAAGAGAGTATTCACATATAGACTTAATAACCTTATCAATATAGTTGTGGAAAATGGTATATTAGCAAAACTATTTCCTGGCCTATTTGGTTAAGATGTCCTTAAGCAAATATAAAAACAATATGTTGAAAGAGTTCCAAATGGCAGAAATGTTTTCCTATACTCCAAGTATTTTAAATTTGAAACCTGCCCAAGATCAGACTTCAGGTACTGTCTTCTGTGAGAGAAAACATTTTGAACATTCATGAATTATAATTCTATTTAAACCTTTTCTCAAATAAGTCTACCCTAATAACAGATCTGGTTTATCTGAGGTTTGCTTAAAAATAACCTATGGGGTAGAGTGAATAAATATAGATGAAATAAGATTAACCATGTACTGATAATTCTTGAAAACTTTTTTGAAGCTGGGTGAAGGTTGCTATATTAAATAAGGCTCATTAGAAAATATTCTTTGGTTTTGTGCAAAATTAAAAACTTCCATAAACATTAAAAAAGTTTTCTTGAAGAAAACACTTCACTATTTGGAATAACATGATGCATAAGTAATAGTAATTAGCATTCCTTAGACTTCACACATTTTTACTTTTGAAGCACTTTAACACTACTGTCTCATCATATATGAGGTAAAAATTATAGTCATGACAGCAAAAACCAAACAATGAATGGAAATTAAATTTGAATGGGGGAATATTTTAATGACTAGAGCGACTACATATAGTTCTTCATTCTTAATTTCTTCATCTACTCAGAGCAGTGTTTGCAAAATCATGTTTCCTTAAAGGTACTTCTGAAACCACTGGAAGAGAGAGGGGAGAACCAAGCCCTATCTAGCCCTAAAGCAGTTATGCTTTTACAGGTTTCATATTTCAAAATACGTTTCTTGGGTGGAGTCTCCATTGCTTTGAACCAGTTATACAACCACTGGAGTAGAGACAATCTTTACTGGTTCCGCTACTGAATATCGGGAGAAAGGGCTACTCCTGGTGCTCCAAGGCATAGTGTAGACAGAATAAAATGAGTATGAGGGTCAGCAGTGTTAGAGGGTCAGATAAAAACAGAAGACGTTTATGTGCTCTAACAAATTATTTTCCAATCTGAAGCATAATCAGTTTTATCAGTTATATTCTTTAAAACTAAATTTTCTTTAGCTTTAAATTTTCTTTAGCTTTGTAGATAAATACAAGCATGCTAGGAACTTTTAAGGGCACACAAAAATACTTTGGTATTTTATACATAGTATAATTCATTTGTTCAAAATGAATTTCAGGAATTTATGGATGGATTGTAAGGCTACATGAAATCCAATTCCTTCCTTAAATTTTATCGTGCCCACCACAATAATGATTATTAGCATTTCTAAGTCTTTGTTTAGTGAAATTTCAAAATGACATTGATGCAAATTAGAGGCAAAGCTTGCAAAAACAGATTTGTCATTACCTCCCAACAAATCACTAACTATATGACAAAAACGAAATCTTCTTACTGAAATACTATGGACACCTTATATTCTGTAGTGTATGAATTTGGAGTTTGTGATTTCTTTAGATTGGTATTAAACTAAGATTTGCTCTTATAGTATGTATGTATAAGACATTTAACTATAAAACTGGACCTTTAGAGTTTAGACATTAAAAACAGTGCTTACATTTCAACAATATATGCTTTCTGGGTAAAGTATATAGTTTCATGAAAGTGTAATAAACTTGAGACAATTTAATTACTGCATGAAAATTATATATAAATTAAGTTATTTAATTTTTTCTGAACTAGAATGTTTCAGTTAAAGAACCTGTTATAAATAGCCTTTTAAGACTTTATTAAAAAAGCAAACCAAAACCTGCTTTGCCATGAAACCAATTCTTTAAAGCAAGCACTAGTTACCTTTGGTAGCTTTGATTCCCTCATCTATAAAACAGGGATTTACAGACTGGGTGACCACTAAATTCAAGTTCTAAAATGCGATAATTCCAGGAATGTAATAAAATAGTTTAAAACAATTTTCATTTAACTTAGTAAGACTTTAGTGAGATTTCTCATTCAATGTAATATGTACTGTTCATCAAAACCAGTTTTTAAGGTAAAAAATGCCAAACACTGCTTGAAACAATATTCATATAATAAGATTACAATAGATAAAATTATTCAAAAATTTGTAAAGATCAGAGAGTAAAATGTGTTCTTTTACATATGAATTAATGTTTTCTATAAATATACTCAGTGAAATTTAAGAGTTTGCAGGTAAGATTTTACTTAATTTTCTACTTTATTATAATTAATAAAAATCCCGGAGGAGCAATAGAACATTTGGTGGATTAGATAATGTCTATAAAATCACTACTAGTTTACTTAAAACTGTTTTTTAATTAAAATATGCAACACCATGTCTTTTTATTAAAGTATTTCTGAATTTAAAAGTTAGAAATATGTCACGAAATAACTATTTATACAGTATGTACATCACAAATTTCTGAAACACAAAAAGAAATGTAAAGCTATTTACCTACAGATACTGCAACTCCTGTGTAAACCACTGTAGTAATTAAAATGGCTAAGAGTGTTCCTTTGGGAATGGCTGACTGAGGATCCTAGAAGACAAGAAGATTTTTTTTTTAAGTATTATCTTTAAAAATAAATATATAGGGCCCCGAGTGGCGCGTTGGTTAAGAGTTGGATTGGGACGCCAGCTCTGAAAAGCAGGACCCCGGTTCAGATCCCACATGAGGGCCAGTGACGCTGCACCCTCTACAGCTAAGATGGTGAACAACAGCTCGACCTGGAGCTGAGCTGCCGTAAGTCGCCAGCGACGGCCTAAGCTGCAGTGGGGCTGGCCAGCAGCTGGCGTGTGCTTTTATGAGCTGCCATAAGTGGCCGTCCAATGGCAGGGGAGCAACTGCCTCACCCAGCAAGAGCACAATGATCATACCAACATGGGCCAGTGAAGTGACGTCCTCCACAACTAGACTGAAGAACAAAACAGCAATTTGTCTACCTGTCTGTTCCCCTTCCCCGATTCCCCAATGCTGTTCCTCTCCCTCAATTCCCCAATAAAATCTTTAAAAAATAATAATAAAATAAAAAATAAATAAATATATGTATACCATTTTAAATATATAATCAATACAGTACTTACTGCAAGATCACCTGAGATATTTGCTCCAGCCAGAATACCAGTTGCAGCAGGAAAAAAGATGGCAAAGACAGAAAAAAAAGTCTCTTCATCTCGAAAATCTGGTCCAAAATTCTCATTAAATATTTCAGCTATAGAGAATAAAATTTTTTTGGCAATTAGTGAATAGCAAGTTAGACCATAATAATTTAATAATTTAGGTCAAGAGTATGTGGTGTGTATGATCCCTGACTTTTCTCCAAGTAACTGGTAAACTCTTGAATATTTCCTAATTCAAGTATTGATATTGCTTTTTTCTTGTATGAGGGAACAATTTACAAGCAAAATAATTTGACCTGGGTCATGCTCTACTATTTTGTATACCTTAATAATTAAGTTTCATGCACCTCTAACTTGATTGTTGTCACTAGCCCAAATGTAAATCAAAGCATGGATAAACCCGTCAATCTCAGAGCTCAAGGAAACCAAAAAGGAGTTAGGAAAATAAAAGGATCATCATACTAATCGAATCATTTATTTTTCTTCCATCCAATGTATATACTATATGTACAGCTTTCTCTAGTTCATAGTGGTGACCTGTTTGGTTTTTGAGACTATTCATCAGGCTTCCAGATAATTTTAGCTAAGGCAAATTAAAATTAGGCAAAGGTCTTTTCCATTTCAACAATAATGAAAGCTGCAACTAGTCCTACTGTTTCCACCTATTCTGATAGGTGCTAACAATAAAACAACTAATTAACTGTGATTTATCCATCCATCTATCCATTCATTATTTGATTATCTACAATGTGCCAGGTCCTATATTGGAGCCACTGAGTATCACAAGGTGTTTAGATATATAACAGCAAGAAGCTAGACATGGTTCCTACCTTTATGGAACTTAAGAGTCTTAATGGGGAGCTACACAATAAGTAAAGAAACAGGTCATTTACAAATAGCAGTAAATGGGGTCAGCTAAGTGGCTCAGTTGGTTAAGAGCTCACTTGGGAGCACCAGCTCTGAGCAGCAGGGCTGTGGTTCAGATTAAGGGCCAGTGACGCTGCGCCCTCTACAGCTAAGATGGTGAACAACAGCTCAACCTGGAGCTGGGCTGCTGTGAGTTGCCTGCGACGGCATAAGCTGCAGCAGGGCTGCAGTGGGTTGCCATGAGCTACATGAGTGGCTGGCAGCCAGCGTGAGCGGCTGGCAGCTGGCGAGAGCTGCTGTGAGCCGCAGTGAGCAGCCAACCAATGACCGGCGACCGATTGCCTCACCCGGGAAAAGCACAATGATCATACCAACATGGGCCAGTGAAGCAACGTCCTCCACAACTAGACTGAAGAACAAAACAGCAATTTGTCTATCTGTCTGTTCCGCCTCCTCAATTCCCCAATGCTGTTCCCCTCCCCCAATTCCCCAATAAAATCTTTACAATAAACAACAAATAGCAGTAAATGTACTGATGGAAATGGGGCGTTGTGGTGAAGAATGAAAGAGAGACTCTAATTCAATGTAGTTACAGAGCTAAAGAGCTATAGCTGAATAGCTATAATGAAAGAGATGATACTTAAACAGAGACTTTATTGAGTCAAGAATCAGCCATGTGATGATCAGGGAAAACATTACATCAGAATAAGAAACAACACTTATAAAGGCCCAGAGGGAGGAAAAAGTTTAACTCTCTTGAGGAATTAAAAGAATGTAAAAAGCTCTCATAGTAAGGGGAGAATGAAATGAGATTGGAAAGATCGAAGGGGATAAGAGTACGCAAGATTTTAAAGTTTAGATTTTATCTTAAATATAATAGAAACCAACGTAGGTTTAGAAACATGAAAATAACACGATGTGATTAAGGCTATTGTGGATGCTGTGTGGACAATGGACTGAAGGCATCAACATATGAAGCAGGGAGACCACAGGGGTTACTGTAGTGGTACAACGCAGTGAAGGGAGAATAATGTACTAATTAGACAAAGATTAGACAGGGGCCAGGTAGGAAACTCTGAGATCCCGGTCTCTTCCACACACTGACATGGAAAAGTCTTAAGGGGATTAAGTAGGAGGGACATCAAATAAGCAGTTATACATATACCGGGGATGCCAAAAAAATGTATACACATTTAAGAGATGTTAACACTTTGGTCAACAGTGCTCAAGCAGTAGTTAGTCGTAATCAGAAGTGTCTGGACGCTGATGGTAACCACTTTGAGCATCTCTTGTAATTGCAGAAGTCAAACGTGACTTGTATTCATCTTTTGTTATCGGTATATATTAATACAGTTTTTTCTTTCTTAAAATTTGTATACATTTTTTGGGCACCCTTTGTATATATACACATTATCTGGAGTTTAAAGGAGTGATCCAGAAATAGAAACATGTCTCTTGATAGCATCTGGAACAATGAGAATAGACACCACCAAAGGAAAGAATATAGTTAGAAGGCCCAGGACCAGACTCTGTGCAACTCGGACATTGAGAAGACAGAAAGAAGAGAAGGGATAATAGGAATAACAGACACAATGACCAGTGTGACATCAAATAAAACAAGAAAAGTACTTCAAGCAGAATGGGAAAACTAAATATAATGTTGCTCCACACTGGATCTAGCACCATGTGGCTGTGACCTTGCCAGTCAGAAGCCAGAGAAGGGTTAAGGATGAAGAAACAAAGCCATTTGGTGAAAGTGTGATGGGGAAAAGGCTACACACATCTCAAAGGACCTCGCCACAGATTACTTATCAATTACAAAGGAGAAAATGGCAACCATACAGTAAAGAAACCTCTCAGGTACCCTTTTGACCAAGTCATCCAAGTTAAAACCGTCCGTGATGGAGAAAGGTGACATCACGTGTGTCTTCTAATGTAATGCACCAAGGAGGAAACACCGTTCATGTAATGTTCCTGGCAAAAAGGAATAGCCTGAATCTATAGAAATAAATCAGACAAACCCAACGGTAGGGACATGTTCTTGAAAAATGTCAGTATCACAAAAAAAGGCTACAGAGTTGTTTTAGATTCAAGGAGATTGAAAATTACGTAAAGGACCATTTTTAAAAAAAAGGAGGATAAAGAGACATGACAACTGAATGCAACGCATGATCATGGATGGGTTCCTGGAACAGGAAAAATTGCTATAAATATTTTTATAGGGACAATTAGAAAAAATTGTATATGAACCATATGTTAGATATTAGCATTGTGCCAAAGTTAAACTTCCTGAATTGTGCTTTTCCTTCGTAGATACATGCTTAAGTACAATGTTTGGAGGTAAGAAGTCAAGACTTTTGCAACTTCTCTCAAAAGGTTTAGCAACTTTAGTAATAATTAGATATATATGGAGTGATAAAACAAATATGGCAAAACAAAAGAATATAAAAGCATTCATCATTGGTAAATCTAGGTGAAGGATATAAGGAATTTACTGCATTAACTTTTCGAGTTTTCTCTAAGTTTGAAGTTATTTTGAAATAAAGAATAAGTGAGAGGTATGGATTTGAGAAATCTATCTATGAAAGGGAACTGGAAAATGAGGTGGTAACTAGAGGAGAATAAAAGACAAGAGACAGCATTTTCAAGGGTGGGATTAACAGAGCAAGTTCATAAACTTATATATAGGTTAAGAGTTTTGATGCAGGGAGCAAAGTCGATTATTAAAGGACAAATGCCTTTGAGAAAGTAAAAGAAATGTGATCCAGAACACAGCAGAAGCACTGGTCTTTGGTGAAAGAGAAATATCAAAAATTTTAAATTCTCATATCAAAAATTTTAAAAAAGAAAAAGAGGAAAAACGAATACCCCTATTACATAGTCATTTGAACTGACAAGTTTATTATTAACCTGTTTCCTACTGACACTGCCTTAGTATAAAGAATGAGAGGAGAGCCAAGTGGTTATAAACCACCAAAAAAAAGTCACATTCCAAAGTATATTTAGGTTTATGTACCTCAGATTAAGATAAGCCCAGATGTGTTACTTACATACAATATAAATTATTACTATACTAGCTAACTGTGTAATACTTTTATAAGTTGCCCAGGATCTGAAAAAAAAGGAAATGAAAAATGTGGCCTAGCAGGTATTTGCAGATACTTTCAAATCAATAAAGTCATAAACAGAAAATATATAGTATTAGTAATATTTTAGAATCATCCACTGTAATTTTTAATACTTATTTTAGAAATAAAAGTGACAAAATCAAATTTTCAAAAACATATATTCTAAAAATTGCAGTAAAAAGTCATTCATAATTAGGTCACATATATAATTTATGAGAGCACAAAACACAGAAAATTATCTACCTAACTCATGCTACTAATTTTCACTTCTCACATGCCTAGTAGACATCTCTTCCTCCAATCCAGGGTATCAGGAATTTGAATCCCCGTTTAGAAGGAGGCATAAGCACTAGTAGTCAGAATAGACATCCACCAACCCAGGCCCAGTAGGCACAAGTAATAGCCAGACGTAGGTTATTACCTTGAAACAATTCATATCAGAAAATTGTCCAGCCAGCTAAATCAGGGTCGGATACAGGCTAAACCAGTGCTACTCACATATGAGCCAAAGACTGTATGTTGTCACCAGTCAGCAACAAGATTAAGGAGCTCACACCAGAATGTAAATCAAATAGGATTATAGGCTCTATAGTTTAGTTCAGTGGATACTTTTCCAGTAAGATTTTCTGAAGGAAGAAGTGCACTGATTTACATTTGTATCTTTACAAGTCTCTGGGCTAAACAACTCAGGAGATCTGAAACAAGGCCTTTTCTTCTAGGGCTTCAAATCAAGGAGTTTTTGTCAACTAAAGACAGACAGACCTGTCACCCTAAGTGATAAGCCTCTCTGATGCTATTGCAACTATTCTTTCCTATGTTCATTTTATTTTGTGGTCTTCTCGGTAGCATTGATTTTTTTTCTTTTTTTGTACATTCTATTACCTTTTGTTGCTAATAATGAGAAAAGACATAAATAAAACTGTTTTTTACTTCAGTTGTAACATACATAAAGGAGACAAAACTAAATTCAATTGTCAATTAGTGTGAGTCACTGTACCAAGCTCCATTACATTATATCTAAAATGTACTAAATTTATTTACTGATAGAATGGTATACTATACACCTTTAAAATATTCTATCTTTTTTACTTACATTTATAACTAAAGAAACCTTTGGGCTTCTTGCTCTCCAATGGGATAAATGTTCCGATGATGAAATCAGCAATGGCAAGTAGCAGAATCACCAAAAGAACAATCTGAGCCTGGAATTTTAAAATATTCAAAATCAAAATCAATCTCTTATGTCTATACATTGTTTCAGTTCCACTAGATTATAAATTCCCATGGGGGAAAGCATTTCTTTTTTGTTTCCTCAGTGCCTCAAACAATTTCAAGCACAACGTAGGTGCTCAATAAATTTGTGAAATTAATGACCAACCTTTAAAGAACTATCGGAAAATGTTCAACACACTGGGGAAAAATGGATAGCAAAAGTAGGATCATGCCATATATTTTTGAAATGAATTAACGATGTGCATGTCCTCCCACAAATCATAAAGCATTATAAATTCCAAAACACTGCAGGCTTTTCGTTCTATATCATTCTTTCCAGTCCCCTCCACAATACAGTACGATCTAGACATGGAGAACATACTCGCTACAAAAACAAGTTTTATACCAAATCCAAACACAATGTTGAATGTCTGACAGTTATAGGAAAAAAAGAAAAAGTATAGAAAGAAGACAACATCGAGGAAGGGAATTCAAGTAGTGCAATGAGACTAAAAGAAAGGAACAATCTATGAGAACTACCATCTCGCCTCTTTTACTCTTTTATTGTTTGTTTTTTTGGCACATAATTGACATATAACAATATGTTAGTTTCAGGTATACAACATAATGATTTGATATTTGTATTTATTGTGAAATGATCATCACGTAAGTCTAGTTAACATCCATCACTTATTTATAATTGGTAGTTTGTACCTTTTGACCCCCTTCACCCATTTTGCCCACCCCCTATCTCTCCTCCTCCACTCTTAACTTCCCAATAAGACTGAGCAGCTATTCATGAAAAACTGTGTCATCTGCGGGAGTACGAACAACTTATATACTAATCATGTCCCAGGTAGTATGAAATTCTAGTCTTTTTAGTAAAGTCAATTTGTTAAATGCTTAAAAATGATTTAATTTTATACTAATGATTTAAATAACCATGGAAAAATTATGCCTTCAGATTTTCCTAATTTTTGATCTGGTAAATGTTATCATAGATCATATATAGCACAAGTCTGTGACTTTATACAATCTATAAAAGTACACACAAAGAGGGCCGGCCGAGTGGCACATTGGTTAAGAGCTGGATTGGGACGCCAGCTCTGAGCAGCAGGACGCTGGTTCAGATCCCACATGAGGGACAGTGACACTGCCTTCTACAGCTAAGATGGTGAACAACAGCTTGACCTGGAGCTGGGCTGCTGTGAGTCATCGGTGACGGCGTAGGCTGCAGCCCCTCCCTGCTGCAGTGGGCTGCCATAAGCTACCGTATGTGGCTGGCAGCCAGCATGAGCGGCTGGCAGCCAGTGTGAGCTGCCAAGAGCTGCTGTGAGCGGCCGTCCAGAGGCCAGCGACCGATCTGCCTCACCCGGGAAGAGCGCAATGATAATACCAACATGGGCCAGTGAAGCGACTTCCTCCACAACTAGACTGAAGAACAAAAGGACAGCAACTTGTCTGTTCCCCTTCCTCCGATTCCCCAGCACTGTTCCCCTCCCCCAATTCTCCAATAAAATCTTAAAAAAAAAAAGTACACACAACAACACCTGGAAGAACTTTGAGTTCTCAGCAGCATCTTGTGGGTATGCACTACTCAGGAAACGGTGCTGCGACATAGTCTCTCAAAGATACAAAAATGTATTGGAGTGTTCTGCCTACATCTTAACATGCGACTTCAGCAATTTTCCCCAGAAACAGTGGTACTGGCTTTGGTTGTCATGATTTCTGAGATTTCATTAGCAGGGAGCAAGACTAGCTTCTCTAATCCCAATGGGCACTAACTTATTGTCCCCATGTTTATTTTTGAAACTGATCTCTTAAGTAAATTACAAAGCCATCAGTTTCATTTGGGCCACCTAATACTGATTTGAGCATTTCTATATAATGTAAATCAAGAATAGAGGGTGGGAGGGGAAGTAGGAAGTCAAAAATTTAGAAAGTACTGTGTTTAACTAGATTCTAGACTGGTGGCTGTCTCCAAATATTCCCCGTTTTGTCAATTAGAAAATAACCTTATAAATAAATTTCTCTGAAAATGGCCACTTAGGAAGCTTCAAAATCTAAGATTACTATACTTTGTAGCATTCCTAAAACAAAAACTCTATAAGTTCATATATTAAATATTTACAGATAATCCGATGATATCATTACTTACTTTTGCTTCCCACTCCATGCCAGCTACTGAGATACCTAAAAGGATCACCACTGTAATGGCTCCAATAATTCGGATGTCATTGATTTCATCTATCATAAGTATGGAATGTTCCTAGAAAAAGAGAATTATAAATGTAAATAGCAATGCTAGTTATTTTAATAAAGTCTTTAATTCTTTTGAAACATTTTAGGGAAAGCACAGCGCCTTATGTAGAAGTTGAATAAATGCTTATTTAACAAATGAATATGGAGACCTAAGGAAAAGGAATGATAACTATTTACTACTGAGATGTCATTCAAGTATTCATTCACATCAAAAATATGATCAAATGAATAATGCTATATTTAGTGCAGGCACAATAAATCAAAAAAGGAAATTGTGGGCCGGCCGAGTGGCTCAGTTGGTTAAGAGCTCACTGGAGTGCAAGCTCTGAGCAACCGGTTCGATTCTACCAACAGGTGGCAGGATGGCTCAACAAACAAACAAACAAACAAACAAACAAACAAACAAACAAACAAACAAACAAACAAACAAACAAACAAACAAACAAACAAACAAACAAACAAATAAATGGAAATTGCTAACAAGCAAATAAAAATCATGACCAAGTAGTACTAACAGTTAGTATTTTCTTAAGCTACATAGCATAAGTGTATTTTGTATTTATTGTAATTAGTGAACTCATGCTTTAAAAGTTCTTTAGTTTGCATAAAGAGATGAATACACTTTCATGCTGTTGTCCAAAACACACTGCTCCCATTCTATGAGCAAAATTTTTTTAATATCAATGAAATTAAAAACATATGCTAAATTAAACAATGGAAAAATATAAACTCTTAATGACTATTACTTGCTTACTTATAGCCCTTCTTTTTCTCTATCCTTTTGACCTACAGAGATGAGGTCAAGGCCAACATAAGTATCACTTTAAAATTTTGCATTTGCTGTTGTACCACATACTAGTACAGAAGAAGAGTTACAACCTAACCTAACATGAACTGTAAGTGTCAGCCGAGGTTCCTCCTTTTGAATAATACTGAATCCTATTTCACTTTTACTACTTTAACTACACACATCCCAGTGACTCTTTTCAAACAAGTTCTCTTATAAACTCCAGGGCCGTGTTATCAACTTTCTGGCCAGCTCAGCTTGGATACACCTCTGGTTCCTCAAATTACACATCCAGAACTCAACTGTCCTGTGCTCCTATCTCAAGCGAATGTCATTACCTTCCATCTGAATCCCCAACTCAGAAACCTGTGTATAAACTTGAAGTCCTTCTTCCTCTTTCTGTAATTTCCCACATCCCATTGATCAAGTCCACTTATTCAATGTTTTTAAAATCTTTCAAATTCACCCACATCTCTTCAGCCCCACCTGTCACTCATTGTTTTAATATAAGTCACATGTCCTCTCCTAGGATGGTCTTCATCTCCGGTTGTGATCCCTCAAATCCATTCTCTATATGGTGCTCAGGTATTTCTTTAGGTCCCAAACCTGATCACGTCATCGTCTCCAACTCCAATCAAGATAAGATCTAAACTTATTAGTTAACAGACCCTTCCTGACTTGATTCTTTCTCCTCTTTCTAGTCTCAAACCTCTTGCCACTTTGTGCTCCAGTCATATAAAAATATTTAGTTTTTTGGTTTTTTTTAACACATCATAGTCCATCCCTTCCAGGCCTTTGCTGCCCTTTCTTCCCTGTCCCCCTCAACTACACACAGCCCACCTCTCCTATCTGCTTGCTGACATCTCGACTCCCACCCTTGACACTCCTTTGCCACCCTTTGTGTTGCCAAGGCCTCCCGCAGTTACCCACTTCTGACATTCTATGGTGATTTTCTCTTTGTCTATCTCACACACCAAACTTCTTGAAGGACAAAATTTATGTTCATTGCTGCTTTCTAGCATCTAATATGGTGAGTGGCACAAAAGCCCTCAATACAGATTTGGGAAACAAATGACTAGAAGAAAGGTGAATTACCTTAAGCAACTCCACCACAGTTTCTGCAAATCCAACCACATACATAGCAACTGCAACAGCGTTGGCAAAAGCGAAGATGAGGCCAATCGCACCACCAAACTCTGGCCCTAGGCTTCTAGATATCAAGTAATATGCTCCTCCTAAAGGGAAAAAACAACACAAGTACTAAAGTTAGCATTTTAAATGTTCTCCTCCATCATGTGCATGGGCCTCATTCAATCAGCTGAAGTCCTGAACAGAAGACAGATCTCCCCAGTACAAGAAGGAATTCTGTGGCAGATACCCTTCAGCTTCAATAATTATGCGAATCAATTCCTTCAAATAAATCTTTGCACACACACATACACAACCTATTGGTTCTGTTTCTCTGTAGAACGCTAATACAGACATGTTACAAGGTAAATATACAAAAATCTCTATTTCCATATACTAGCAATGAACAATTAGAAACTGAAATTTTAAAAAGTAACCTACACTAGCACTCAAAAACAAATGCTTAAGTCTAAATCTAAAAAATATTTCCAAGATCTGCGTACTGACAACTTAAAACAAAAAAGTTAACTAAATAGATATGCCATGTTTATGAAATGGGAGACATAATCAAGATATTTATTCTCTCCAAATTGATCTCTAGATTCAACCCAATTCCAATCAAAATTTCAGGAGGCTATTTCACAGAAATGGACAAGGTGATTCTAAAATTTATATGAAAAGGCGAAAGAACTACAATAGCCAAAACAATTTTGAAAAAGAAGAACAAAGTTGGAAAACTCACACTACCCAGTTTCAAGAATTTCTATAAAGATACAGTACCAACCTAGTAGGGTATTACATTCAGGATAGATCTATAGATATTGGGTCAGGACAGAGTCCAGAAATAAACCACACATGTAGGGTCAATTAATTCCCCCTCCCTCCAGCTTTATTGATATTTAGTTGACATATAACATTGTGTAAGTTTAAGATACACACTGTGACAATGATACACCTATACATTGCAAAATGTTTGGCAAAATAAGGTTAACATATCCTTTACCTCACACAATTACCTTTTTGTTGTTGTTATGGTAAGAACATTTAAAATCTACTTTCTTTAACAACTTTCAAGTATACAATCAGTATTGTTAACTAGTCTCCATGCTATACATTAGATCTCCAGAACTTACTCTTCTTATAAATGGAAATTTGTATTTGACCAACATCTCATCATTTCTCTCATCCCCCAGCTCCTGGTAACCACTTTTCTACTGTTTCTATGAATTTAACTTTTTTAGATTCTGCATAAGTGCGATTATAAAATGTTTGTCTTTCTCTGTCTTATTTCACTTAGCATAATACCCTTAAGGTTGATCCATGTTGTTACAAATGACAAGATCTCCTTTTTAAGGCTGAATAATATTCCTGTGTGTGTGTACACACATACATATATATCACATTTTCTTCATCCATTCAGCCATCAATGAACACTTAGGTTGTTTCCATGTCTTGGCTATTGTTATTCTGCAGTGAACATAATGAACATAGAGGCATAAACCTCTCTACCAAATAATTATTTCATTTCCTTCATTTATATACCGAAAAGCAAGATTGCTGGATTATATGGTACTTTGTTTTTCGAGGTACTTCCATACTGCTTTCCCCAGTGGCTGTACCAATTTACATTCCCAGCAATGCACGAGGGTTCCATTTTCCCACAGCCTCACCAGCTTATATTATCTTGTCTTTTTGATGTTAGCCATTCTAACAGGTATGAGGTGATAACTCACTGTGGTTTTGATTTGCACCTGTTAAGCACCTTTTCATGAACTTGTTGTCTTCTTTGAAAAAGTATCTACTCGGGTCTTCTTTCCATTTTTTAATCAGACTGGGATTTTGTTTGTTTGTTTGTTTTTGCTATTGTGTTATATGAGCTCCTTATCTATTTTGGATATAAACCCCTTATCAGATATATGATTTGCAAATATTTTCTCCCATTCTGTAGGTGTCTTTTTCGTTTTGTTGTTTCTTTGCTGTGCAGAAGCTTTTTAGCTTGATGTAGTCCTATTTGTTGATTTTTGCTTTTGGTGTCATATCCAAAAAAAAAAATCACTGTCAACACCAATGGCAAGGAGCCTTTTCCTTATGTTTTCTTCTAGTAACTTTACAGTTTCAGGTCTTCCATTTAAGTCCTTAATTCATTTTGAGTTTATTTTTATGAGTGGTGTTAAGAAAGAATTCCATGTGAATATCTGGTTTTCCTAAGACCATTTGCTAAGGAGGTTATCGTTTTCCCACTGAGTGTTCTTGGCTCCCTTGTCATATATTATATGACTGTATATGCGTGGGTTTATTTCTGGTCTCTCAATTCTATACCACTGGTCTATGTGTCTGTTTTTATACCAGTACCATACTATTTTGATTATTATAACTTTGTAATATAGTCTTAAATCAGGAAGTGTGATGCCTCCAGCTTCATTCTTTCTCAAGATTGCTTTGACTATTCGGGGTCTTTTGTGGTTCCATATGAATTTTAGGATATTTTTTTCTATTTGTATGAAATTGCACTAAATCGATAGACGGCTTTGAGTAATTAAGGTCAATTAAATTTTTACTAAAGTAAAAAAGCAATTAAATAGAAAGGATAATCTTTTCAACAAACTGGAATAACTGGATATCCATGTGAATCTTGGTCATATTTTGTACTATATACAAACATTAGCTAAAAATGATGATAGATATAACTGAAAACCTAAAGTTATAAAAACTTCTAGAACAAAATATAGAAGAAAATCTTTGGGACCGTCGGTTAGGCAATGATTTCTTAAATACAACACCAACAGCATGATCCAAAAAATAAGTGATAAATTAAATGTAATCAAAACTAAGAACTGCTCTTCTGATGACACCATTAAGGGAATGAAAATACAAGCCATAAACATTTTGGTTATTTTTCTAGGAAATACACTCGAACACCCTGGCTTACAAATACACAATAAGGAACTGTTTGCCTGTTTATGTTTGGCAAATTTCCTGTTCTGTTGCCATTGTTAAGTCAACTATTGTTAAAGTAAAGGCAAAGTGACAAACATGGAATCTTCAGACCAGGATTCGGTGCTATGTTATTGTCATTGATCGCCTGAATAAGTGAAACTTTAAGGCCAAAGACATATAGCCCTAATTCCGCAGCAGACAATTTGGGGAACCAAGTTAAAGTATTTTTAATCATTAAAGACTGGCAAGTTGTTTTTTTTGGGGGGGGGGAGGAGCATTAGGACGGGGAAGGTGAGTACAGGTCAGGCTGCAATTAGTTCACTGAAAACTCAGTTGCTCTCCAATCAGGCAGAGACTGCTTTTGGCTTTTTTTCTGCTGACTGTTAAGATTTCTTGTAGAGAGCTGCAACCATGCCCAAAAGAAAGGCTACAGGTCAAGGTGATAGAAGGCAGGAGCCAAAGAGAAGATCAGCCAGACTGTCTGTTATGCCTGTGCCCATTATGCTGGAATTGAAGCCAAAAGAACATCAACGCCAAGGAAAATGAAAACAAAAACTGGAATGATGGAAAAAACCCCACAGATACAAGTACCAAAACAATAGCTGAAACCAAGCAAGAAGTTGTTAAAGAAGAATACAATGAAAAAGCTGAAAATGGAGAAGCCACAATTATAGAGGCACCAGCTCCTAAAAAGGAACTTGAGGAAATACAGAAGAAAAAATTGAAGATGTTGAAGAAGAGGGGGAAAAAAAAAAGTGGCAGCAGAAGAAAAAAAATGAAGAAGATCAGAAAGGAGATAGAGAAGATCAAATCAAGGAAGAAGAGGAAGAAGACCAAAAAGAGAAAGAAGATGAAAAAGAGGGTGAAGATGGAAAGGGGGAAGGAAAAGATGGCAACTAAACTAAAGATGATAACAATAAAGGAGAAGATGAAAAACAGGGAGAAGACAGAAAAGATGATGAAGCTGGGAAAGAAGAGGAAGAAGATGGAAAAGAGGAGGAAGGAGGAAAAGAAGAAAGTAGAAAAGGAGACAGGAAAGATGGAAGAGACGGAAAAAAAAATGAAAATAAGGCTTAAGTTGAAAAAGAAGTAGCCGAAAAAGAAGAGGTCAAAAAAGAAGATGGAAAAAAAAGTCTCAGAGTATTGTTTAAAGCTGCCCTATATAGTTTCAATAATCTGGTAACATGTACCTCCATGTTGTAATGTTAATAGAGATGAATATTTTTATCAAATATTTTATAACCATAGCTTTTCTTTAGCATCGAATGAATTTCAAAACATCTTCATACTGATCACTAGCCACAAAGTTCCTAACATGAAACCCTTATCTATAAACTTTGTGATTATAATAGTGAAATATATAGAAAAAATACACTTTCAACTTTGTGTAAGTTATGTATTAAATTTTTAATTTGAATTTTACTCCTATATGTGGTAACTTCATTAAGTGGAAAGATCCCAAAAGAAAAAGTTTCCTCAAACGTTCTTGTGATTCTCTAGGTTGCTTTTATAAAGAAGGTGAACTATTTTCATGTAATGGTAAGAGTTAGAACAATCTTTCCCAAATGTAACTTAATTAGTTTGGGAAAAAATAAAATTGTAATTCTGTTTTTAAAAGAAATGCAAATGTCTATGTGTATCCACAAAATTTTACTGGATCTATCTTAATAAAAGTTCTCTCCAAAGAGGAGAAGAAAAAAAAGACTGGCAAAATTGAAATGTCAACAGTAGATCAAAGAGGAAACAGAAGTAAAAAATTATTTTTTATAACTTTAGGTTTTCAGATTCACATCTGAGCTACTTACAGCATATAAATAGTGTTTTACTTAACTGAAAACACATTATATTTAAGTCTAATAAAACCTAGCATATAATACAAGTGTTATACAACTGCCTTTTAGTTTCTTCAAACATTTCACTGATTTGAAAAGTGACAAGTTGAAAGAAATTAGCAATGAAAGGAAAGAAGTATGGAGCTACATTCTAACTTATAATTCCTTGCTTGGTGATGACAGGAATTAATAAAGTTATATAATGAACTTGTTAACCTAAAAAAAAAAAGACGACTTTCAAAGTGCAAGGCAACAGGCATTTATTGAGATCAATAAGAATAGCTATTCAGGAAGCACTGATACAGGCAGAAGCCCAAATAGTGTTCCGATTAGGAGAC